TCTATATGTGTAATTTGTATTTTCTTGAGGACCGCCTGTACCACGTGCTCAGGTACTCGAAAAAGCCTTTGGAGACCTCTCGCTTTCTTGGTGCAGTCTTTCAGAGTCAGACTGGCATTATCTGAGTGCCCAAGCATCTGTCAACTCAAATACCTAAATCTTAATGGTGTCTGACTTTCTTTATGGGTTTAGTCAGCCTTTTCAAGTTCTTCTAGAAAGACTGACCACCACTCTGCGGACCCTAGAAGTGGAAGGCAGTGTTTTAAGGACTCCTGACCTAACTGGCCCTGTCCCACTAAATTTTCTCCTTTGTGCTCTCTGTTTGACCTGCCCTCACTGTCTTTGGGGTCTCTTGCTCTGGCCGGTATTAGACAAACCATATAACATATTTTTATCTGAAATTTTCATTTTATATCTTGGGTATGGAGGAAATGGAGTAACTTACAAAGGCGAACACCCAGAGCTTCACAAAAGGTGGACACTCGGCAACCTGTTACGCTTTGTGACTCAGAGGCCCGCCGGCTGAGATCACTTCCATGCCCCACCACAGTCACCATTAGCTTTCTTTCACCCACACCTCATGGGCCTGCAGTCTTGCCCCAGGTCGGTAAATGCCCCCTCTCACATCCCCGTGGGCAGGACACAAGGTCCATCCTTTTTCTCAAATGCCTGGCTAGCCACTTCCATACACGATGGCGTCAAAAGCCCCTCCCTCCTCTGCAACCTCTCCTCACTCAATTCTCCACAGCAGCCCCCCCCCCCGAGGAATCAGGCCCTTTGGGGACACAGGCCTTCTGCCTCTCCTGAGCCATTGCTCCAAGCTCAACATGGTCACTTTCTATGGGACTTCTGTGTCTGTCCATGAACTGAAGAACCTGTTACAACACAACGCCAATCTGAGCCAACTGATACTGGAGCTCTACTCTCTGCCTGGATAGTGTTATGGAGAAGGGGGCAATGTCCTCATAGAGAGCTCTAACGTAGTGTGTGCTGAGCTCATGGGCACACTGAGGGCTATTAGGCAGCCCAAGACAGTATGCTTTGCATCCTGTATCTGCCCTACATCCATATTTTAATGATTCATTTTTGACATGGGGATCAGTCTCTGTCACTGTTTGCAGTAAATACTGAAAGGTTATTTCTGGGCACCAAGAAATGAAAGTTAAGACTCAGGCATATCATGAGGAGACAGAGCATGTGGATTCAAACAATATTCAATGTATGTGGGGAAAAATGACTTCATGGGTGGAGATTAGAGGGGGACAACTGAGGTGTAGAATGATGGACCCATGGGGACATTTTTACTGTGGCGTTAGTAAGTCAATTCTGAATTTCCAAAAATGACTCTGGGCAAGACAGGTGAATGATGGGAATCTGCAAGGGTATTATTTGTGTTGTGGTCAAGGCCGGCAGCATCGAGGCCCTCATTCTGTTACCTCTGTGGCCCATTAACTGGCACTCAGCTTCAACTTTAGAAAGAAATATTCATTTTTATTTTTTTAAAAAAGATTATTCTTGTAAACATCCTTTGCTCTCTATAAAATTAAATGAGGCAGATTTTCACATTGGTGCATGATAACTTTTTTCATTGAACCTCTATATTAAAACTTTGTTTATATCAATTTTGTTTATTAAAATAAAAGTAAACACACTTTCAAAGCATTAAAACATACAGTACAATTGATTTAAGCAAAATCCAGATTCAAGGAATTTAAAGAAACAATATTACGGTCTAATTTTGAAACATTAGAGGTGATTG